TTCTCGTGACAATGAGATTACCTGTAGTGAAGAGGCCTGGTAGCTGCGATGCTTCCGCTTTGATCTTCCTAAAAGAAGTAAAGGATTAACCGAATTTTACTTTAGACCACCGGACAGTTAGCTACCACTCCAAGGGGAAACTTAACGAACATTCACTGTCCGGCGGGATATAATAGTTAACGGCCGGAATAATAGTGTTAGCGCGTATATGTATATGTATGTATTTGTGTCTACATATGCCTACATTAGGGCGGATCCCTAATGTGTCAGAATATTAGGGCTGGCCATTACTTTGTGGGAATATTTAGACTGATGGTCTAAACAACCAGTATGGTGCAAAACACGTGAGAACTGCATTTTACTCGCCACAGGGCAACGCCGCAGAAAGGTTGAACCGATCCGTGCTACAGATCGTCAGATCATATGTCAAGGACAACCAGAAGAACTGGGATAATTGTATAAGCGATGCCGCATTCGCCCTCCGAAGCGCAGTACATACTGCCATCGGAAGCTCGCCATACTTCGCCACGTTCGGTATGCCTATGGTGCAGCATGCTGCATCATACGAGCTATATCGCAAACTAGGTGCTCTTAAGGACGTTGAATGTGAGGTGCGGACTACTCAAGACAGGCTGCAATTGCTTCGGAATTAAATAATGGCGGAGCTGAAGTTAGATCACGAAAGAAGCGCAAGGTGTATAACACAAGAAGCAGAGAGGTGAAGTTTCAAGTCGGAGAAGTGGTATACCGCCGAAACTTCAAACCAAGTTCACAAGTCGATAGTTATAATGCGAAACTAGCACCAAAGCACTTGATATGCATTGTATTAAAGGTGATCGGTACTCAATGTACGAACTTGGGAACGTGAACGGAAAAAGAATCGGGGTATACCACGCTAAGGATATGTTTGTAGCTTGGCTCGAATGCCTTGGGATATGTGTCGTATGTTGTATGTTGCATGTTACGTGTTTTTTTTGATCATTGGTTAAATTTTTTTCCTATGTTAGTCCCTAGTTATATGATAAGCCAGTGATTTATACTTACCTGACCATTAGTTATTTATATATATTTTATGACTTGACCCCTCAGTGATTATACATTTGCATATTTATTTACGTAATTATTTATTATTGTGATTATTTTTATCATTTATATATTCCCTATTTATATATATTTTTCTTTTGTAGTCTTCTTATCTGTGATTTTTTTCTACTTGATCACATATTTTATAGCCTGTGATACTTTTACATAGTTATTTATATGCTGACTTTTTTATTTTTGCTATTTGTTAATTTATGCATGTATCCTCATGCTTGAGTATTTATTGATTTACCTACGAATCTGTGATTTAGATGTAAGTACTTAATATGCAGTATATAGTGTGAGGACTAAATGTTCAGTATGAAATTTAGCCCACACAAACATCTACAACATAAGCGGCACTACGACACCGCGCAACAGCCAGTCAAGCAACACAACTCATAGCAACACAACTCGTAGCAACACACGACAGCATCTTTGTGACCATGGCAACGAAACATCACACAGCAACATGTGGCTGCACGACCACGCAACATCAAGCACACAGCCCATAAAATACAGAGCACAGCCAGAAAACAGGCAGTCAGCACGGAGCTGTGGTCGCGAGCGAACGACTAAAATTGAAGGGAGCGATAGCTTGTGAGTGGTACACACACCACAAGACATCACCCCTCAAAGGTAGAAAAACCATATTTGATAGTGAGAACTACCGCTGAATGGAGCGATTGCTTGCGAGTGGTACACACACCGCAAGACATCACCACTCAGAGTAGTAATCATTAAAAACGGTTTCGATCGCTGCTCGCCACTGTCTACCGCGAAGCCGCGTACGAACGATCTCCGCTCGTCGCCGTCAGCAGCGCCACGTCAAGCGTGCCAGCAAGAGCGCTATCCGGCGCCGCCAACAGCGCACCCGCAAGAGCGCTACCCGTCGTCGTCAGCAGCGCCACGTCAAGCGCGCCAGCAAGAGCGCTATCCGGCGCCGCCAACAGCGCAACACCAAGCGCACCCGCAAGAGCGCTACCCGTCGCCGTCAGCAGCGCAACGACAGGCGTACCGAGGTTAGCAGCGCGCCACTCAACGGCGTCAACAGAGCGCTGCTCACCAGAATTGAAGCCACGCCACTACCGCCTAACGGGCCCTAACGGGACAGGAAGCCGTTACCCAGCCACTGCAAGTGACGCCACCAAATTTTGCCAAGTGTTATTTGTTATATGTTCTTTATAGAAATTAAGAAAATTAAATTAATAAAGTGCGATTTACCAGAGCCCCGAAACTACAAATTTATTGTAACGAACCCTGGACACGGCGAGTATACCCCAGCATTGTAGAAGAAGCGGCGGGGCTAATAAAACGCTTCGTTACAAATTGCGCCCGAGTCCGCATAGCGCGCCCATCGTGTTGGCTCGGAAGAAAAATGGTAAGTGGAGGTGGTGCGTGGATTATCGGCAACTAAACGCCCGATCAATACCCGACGCATACCCCTTACCCAGAATACAACAGATACTGGACAATTTACGGCGGGCTAAGTATATCAGCAGCCTAGACCTCAAAAACGGCTACTGGCAGATACCCCTGGAACCGAACAGTCGCCCGTTCACAGCCTTCACCGTGCCTGGGCGCGGACTATTTCAATGGCGTGTCATGCCGTTCGGCCTACACTCCGCACCAGCAACCCTTCAAAGAGCACTCGACCAGGTCATCGGCCCAGAAATGGAACCCCACGCTTTCGCCTACCTAGACGACATCATCGTCATAGGCTCCACCTTCGAGGAGCATGTACAAAACCTACGGGAAGTACTATCACGACTACAACGCGCAAATCTCCGCATCAACCCCGAGAAGTGCGACTTCTTCAAGAAGGAACTCCGATACTTGGGTCATGTGGTAAGTGAAAAGGGAATCCACACCGATCCCGAGAAGGTGGCCGCGATCCGAGAATTAAAACCACCGTCTAACGTGAAGGAAGTACGCCAATACCTCGGATAGCATCGTGGTACCGTCGCTTCATGCCCGATTTCGCCACGTTAAGCCAACCACTAACTGCACTCCAGAAAAAGGGGAAGCATTGGAAGTGGGGAGTCGAGCAACAAGAGGCCTTCGACACCCTCAAGCGGAAACTCACCGAGGCCCCCGTACTCGCCTGTCCGGATTTTAACGAGAAATTCACCCTACAGACGGACGCTAGTAACTTTGGCTTGGGAGCGGTATTGACACAAGAATTAGAAGGAGGCGAACGCGTAATATCTTATGCCAGCAGGAAATTGAGCAAAGCGGAGGTCAGCTACTCGCCCACAGAGAAGGAGTGTCTTGCCATTGTTTGGGGAATCCGGAAGATGAGGCCCTACCTAGAGGGATACAGGTTCAAGGTGATCACCGACCACATGTCGTTGAAGTGGCTGAACTCTATCGAGAGCCCTTCCGGCCGCATAGCGAGATGGGCCCTAGAACTACAACAGCATACATTCGATATAGAATATCGAAAAGAGAAGCTCAATCTAGTCGCGGACGCACTATCACGGCAACCACTGGAGACCCTCCGGCAAGCGATAACGACGGAACCACAATGCAAGTGGTGGCATAAGCGCGTGGGCGAAGTGCGCGCCAACCCGGAGAAATACGCTGACTATATGGTGCAGGACGGACAACTCTACCGCCATATCCCGTGCCGAAGCCAGGATGAGGAAGCAGTGCCCTGGAAGCTATGTGTACCAACCCCCCTTCGCCAACGAGTACTACAGGAGAACCACGATGTACCCAGCGCCGGCCACATGGGCATCCGACGGACAGTGGCGCGGGTCGCCAACCGATACTATTGGCCAGGTATGTTTCGTGACATCAGCCGCTACGTGCGCCAGTGTGATTCCTGCCAAAAATACAAGGAAGGACAACAGAAACCCGCGGGAAAAATGCTTTCACAGGTGGCCTCGGAGCCCTTTGCGACGGTCTGCACAGACTTCGTCGGACCCCTACCGCGATCTACACATAGCAACACCATGCTATTGGTATTCTTCGACCGCTTCAGCAAATGGGTGGAGTTAGTCCCAATGAGACGCGCCACGGCAGAAGGACTGCGCCGTGCATTCAGAGAACGAATCCTAGCTAGATTTGGCGTTCCGAAGATACTCATCTCGGACAATGGCTTCCAGTTCACCAGCACGCTGTGGCAACGCTACCTCCAAGAGATGGGAATACGACAACAGTTTACCGCGCCATACACTCCCCAGGAGAACCCAACGGAACGCGCTAACCGAACGGTCAAGCGAATAATAGCTCGGCTCACCAGATCGCAACACCAGCGATGGGATGACCTCCTCCCCGAAATCGAGCTAGCCATCAATACCAGCGTCACCGCCTCTACGGGGTACAGCCCAGCTTTTCTCGCCCAAGGGCGTGAGCCACGACTACCTGGAGCGCTCTTTGACGAGGTCAACATCGGGACAAGCACTTTTCCCCCTACTGCCGAGGAGAAGTCCAGTAGGATGCAGGAGGCATTCAGGATTGTCCGGCAAAATATTTAGAGAGCGGCGACGGATCAGGCCCGCCACTACAACCTCAGACAGCGAAAATGGACTCCTAGGGTTGGCAAACTAGTTCTCGTCAAGGAACACCATCTATCTAAGGCCGCGGACGGATTCGCAGCGAAATTGGCACCCAAATATGACGGCCCCTACAAAATCCTGAGGTACATATCACCGGTGATCGTCCAGTTATGCAAGACCGATGGAGGAAGGCAAAAGACGGCCAATATCACGGAATTAAAGACGTATCATACCAGCGAGGCCATATAGACACAAGGATACACAAAAAAAAAGGGAACAACCACACACACATTAATTAACCAACTTTAATTCGATACATCATTTCAAGCGCCATCCAACCGCGAACCACCGGAGAGCGAACATCAGGATTTCGGAAGTTACAAGAAAAAATAGAAATAAAAACAAGCAGACATCAAAATGGAAGCCAGCAACAAGTGGGCGAACTGCGTCAAACGCATACGCGAGCGCATAAAGGAGGAGGAAGCGAAACGTCCTCGCACCCAAGTACTGGGGTCACAGCCCACTACCGGCATACGAAACGCCGCGACGGCACGCGCCGACGCAGCCGACGCCGCCGCGAGACACACGCAGCTTACGGACAGCACCACCGCGCGCCGCGCCGCAGCCATAAGGGCAGTCAACGCCCACGCCGCAGTCGGGACGACACGCGTCGCCACCATCCACGACGCCGCAGCGCACATGATTAGTGTGCAAACTAGACAGCGGATATCCGCTGCCCCTACTGCAGTCGCTGCACCCAGCAGCGTCATTAACACGTCCTACTACGCCACCACGGCAGGATCCGCCGTACACGTCGCCGTCAGCACTACGCGCGCTCGAACGGCGCCGACGGCCGCCACACGCCCGACCGTCACGCACACAACAACCGCACATATGGCAGCTCGACGAGCCGTCCACTCCCAACAAGTCGCCGGACGCACCGCCGCCTGGGCAGAGGCCGCCGCAAGGGCGCACCCCATCAAGTGTACCGAAATAACGCCCGAGTGCATTCTCGACAGGGTAACGGCCGATACGCGCAACGCCTTGATAGTCGCAGCAGAGCGAACCAGCAGTACCGAAGAGAGTTCCACGGGTAGTAACTCAACAGAATGTGGTAGGTCAAGCGAAAGTACGACCAGTTCAAGCGCCAGCTCGGACGACTCGAGCGAGGGGCGAGTTGACCCGCCGACCACTCCGGCCAAATACCCGCGAGGCGAACACCATCGCCGCCCATCCAACTCTCATCAGGGGAAGAGACAACGCCGCGGGAGGAGCAAGGGCCAGTACTAGCATACCCGCCAGGGCCAGGCAGCATCGCAATATACCCGGTGGATCTGCGTTCATTAGAGGGAACACGATGGCTGACAGATGCGGTGATGGACGCATGGGCGAGAGGGTTAGAAGCCGAGTTGGGACCAGGGGCCACCATACTCAGTCCTTTCAATTTTAGTATTTAGTATAGAAATATTCAATTGAAATACGCCAATATTAAAATGAAGCGCCTTCCATGCTGTCTGTAATGGGATTTGACCCTGACGCTCTGGAAATTAGCAAATCGTGGCAAGCATCTTCGTGCACTCAGCTACAGCCAGACATGTAAATGTGCATTCAAATGTTCAGTTTGATTCATCACCACGTGTGCGTGGTATGAAAGTATTGTTTTTAGTACGAACATTTCAAAACGATAATCAAATAAAAAATATTCATGTTTACTATGCTTTATTTCCCCTAGTAAATTCATACAATTTTTCTTAATATTGCAACGCGTTTTTTCTCTCAGTGTAGTCATGTTTGTGCAAAATTTTTGCAATCAAATCGAAAACCGGGACACTTAAACAAAATCCGGGACATTTTAAGGTTGGACCGGGACACCGGGACAAATAGTCTAAAACCGGGACATGTCCGGGAAAACCGGGACGTCTGGCAGCCCTATGACAGTAAAGACACAGAAAGCGTTAGAAGCCCGGCTTTAGGGCGTGGATCGTGGCCACATGTAAGGCGCAAGGAAAAAAACGCATAAAGGCGGCGCTAGAACTTTTTTGCGCACACGCTCCATGATGAGGGCAACATCGGCGGGTGCGAGCCTGTAGCTCCAGCAGCTTGGCTAAAAGGGGCATGTATGTACGCGCGTGCGTATACGTATACGCACATGTGTCTGAAACAAGTCCCCATGTTGCCAAAGAAATGTTACCCACTACATACTTTCACTACGGTGTAAATCTTGGCTAACCCTACGGCCCTATAATGCAGTTGTGAGCATGTGTGTATGAATGTGTGGCACTTTCGAAAAGGAGCTTTCGAAGGTGCATGAGTGGGTAAGGTATGAGTGATTGCTTGTGACTTAGCCGAAGAAGGCCAACGGGACAGATAAGCGATCATTGGTGGTAGTGAAGTGTGTGCGCGTTTATTTTTCAACAAAAAAAAAGTGAAGGCTTGAAAAAAAAGAATAAAAAAGTTAATAGCAGTGCCCGGTAAGTGTGTGTCAAACCGTTTTAGCGCCAACTAAACGGATCGTGGCTTGATACATATACACCCGCTGCTCATCCGAAAACTGGAATCCAAGGTAAGAGAAAATCCATTTCTGGTAGGATGTCAAGAGTGCTGGCTGGCCCGAGAAAAGTGATCAAGACGTAATAAGCCGAAGCCTGCCAAGCTACACATGCGTGGTTGTGTGAATGTGTAAATGCATAGATACGAGACATGGATGCATATATGCATGTATATATATGTACACGCATATCCTACTTAGCTTTCAAACGATTGAGTAATGCGAAAAACGTCTGAGTAAATGGATTAGTATCTTTTATTGCAGGCTACAAGTAGACATCGTAAAAGGAACCTTGACCAGCCGGTGACCGAGACAATCTCCACCAGCAACCGCATCCACATTACACGCGCACACCCACAGGCACCTCCATGAAACGTACTAGCCCCACACTGCTGGTTGGGCAAGAGCTGGGCATCGACGGCCAGCGCCAGCGTGCACGGTTGGTCCATCAGCGTGCAACACATCCGCGTACAACATATCAGCGAGCAACAAAACAGCGTGCAACATTAGTGGTTCATGCCAGCGGTCAACAGCAAATAGCAGCGAAAATTACAACAAAAGTTGATACTAGTGGCCAGCAGCGGTGATTTACATCGGCGGTTACAACCAACAACAGCTGTTTACCTCTGTTAGCAACAGCAGAACTGAGAGCCGTGAGCGAGAGGGACTGGAAATCTGTAGAGTTCACATAAAAAGAAATTTTACGACGGTGTGAGCGGTCAAGCAGAAGGGCACACGAAAACAACGCAGTTAGCCGCAAGCGATACTCGACGTCAACAGCGTTAACATCGCCGTCACCGTCCTGCGCCAGCGCTACCGGAAGTTCTGGGCAGCAAGGGAAAGTTCCACAAGTGTTTTTTTTTTGTTTTAATGAATTTAATTAATAATGCACCCATATGTATTTATTCTCTAGGAACTTAGTTAGCACTTACCTACTTTGTTTTTGAATTGAATAACGCCAAGTTTGAGCTATATTTTAATAGGTACCGCATTACTTGTGGTTGGGTTTTTTTTCCTTTTCATTTTTGAAAAGCGGAGATTTTCCTCATTTCTGTTTGGTTTTTTTTACTACATTTGTTTCGGGCATAGATTTTACCAGTTTTTTCTGTTTTTAATTTTAGCTTTTCCTAAAGAATTTTTAATTGTGTTTAACTTAGATGTCGCTTTAAATTATTGCATTTTTTTTTTATAATTGGTTTCTTTTTATAACTCCGGATTCAAACCCTAAGCTAACATCTCGCATATCACTGTAGTACTATTAGTTGATTCCATTCAGTTCCTTTTGCGACCCGCTCGATGCCCCCGAACTCGAGCGAGTGATTGAGCTGTTAAACTAGGAGAGGCTCAATGCCTCCGTAATAGACATGTGTATGTTTGCATATTTGTATGTATCTTAGGCAAGACTCTCATCCCACACAGGTTCTCAACGGCATGCTGGTACCAACATCCAGTGTTGCCAACTTTTGATTTTCAAAAAGCACCAAAAACTTGGAAAAAGCGTTTTACCACACTAAAAGCACCAAATGGGGTTTTTTCAGAACAGTTTGTATGTATTTAACAAAAACAAAAAATTAACAATATTTACAAGAATGCATACATAAATCAATAAAAAAACGCTCATAACGATTAAAAAGCAACATGCTATAATGACTCATGCTAACGACGTAATACCGAAGTGCTGCACATTAAAACAGAGAGAAAAATCGAATCCCAACAAACGAAAATCATGCCCTAAGTAGAAAAATTTGTTTTCATTATATAACCTCAAATATCGCCAAACACCGTGATTTTGGCACTTTGAGGTTAGGATATCACAAAATTCTAGTTCTAGAGCAATTGTGCGGCCAGATTTGGATTCAGCACCAAGAAACGATGTGTTTTACTCAGGTGGTACAAAAAAAAAAAGGCGTGAGTACTAGGTACTCATGAAATTTGATGTGTAAACATGCAGTTATTGTTTTTGAGCTTATAGTTTGAGCATTTATATTTGTATATATTCCTAATTTTAGTTTTTCTTTTCGGAATATAATCTGTGGATCATGTAAATGCAGTTCATGTTGCAGGATGTTATCCGATGCTTTTTTGTTCCATACGTTTTGCTGTTACTCACTTTTTACTCTCACTTCAGAGAGTGATTTGCTGTTTGACCTTCTTCCAGGATTTTACACGAAAAGTATTGGATCAGAGCTATTATATCATCTATACATATGCATATTATACATACATATATTCTTGTATCTTCATCAGTTATCAACGGTTAAAATGATTTCAGTATTTTTTTAAATTTTCGCCTTGCTTTTTAGTTGCTACAAATGAGTCCATACATATTTATGAACGTACATAGGTACAAAGCCGTATGCATGTGCGGAGTTTAAATAATCGGATGTAATAATCAATTGTAGCGCATTTCCTCTTACTATGCATATTCCTAAATGTATGCAACCATTTGGTAAGCAAAAATATGGTGCTTCTAATGAAAACAAAATTTTATGCTGAAACACACATGCTAAGCCCTTCGAAATTTTGTGCTGGGATATACGTTACAGCTTCGCAAATTTTACCCCTACCGAAACCAAAGATGTATACACATCAAAAAATGATTACAAAAAATTAGAAAAGAAATATTTAACTTACTCGCATATCTACTAGCATTTTCAACGCTAATAGAATTGAACAGTGTGATTTTGCAAGTTCAGCTTTTTATCAATCATGGTTGTATTTAAGTGCATTTAAATTTGTAGATTTTTATAAATTCAAAATTATTTCAGGTTTTAACTATATCGGAATAATTTTAGTTCAGATAAAAAGCACTAAAAAAGGAACTAGGCACTAAATAAATTTTTTGGCGTTTTAATTTTCAAAAAGCACTAAATCTAGTGCTTAAAGCACCAAGTTGGCAACTATGCAACATCGCTGGAGTGACCAGGTGAGTGAAATTTGAATTTGGTATTGAGTAAATGTTTTGTAGTTACATACATACATCCATACATACATTATTGCGTACTCGGTTACATTCCTATATCGTAAAGTTTTTCTGTCGTTGCGCTCCCTGAAGGTATATGTACATATATATTTATATATATGAGTACATATGTAAATACATACATACATATATGTCAGCACATATGTCAGCACATGTACAAATATTTATACCAGTTGGAGTTAATAGATTAATTTATTTATTAGGATGCATATGTTTTTTTGAGTTGCTTTTTTTTATGGGTTTAAAAATTTTTTTATATTGAGTTTTTTTTCTTTGAGTTCCTTTTCCGTTTTTTTTTGAAATTTTAGATTAACTCGCGTATAGAACACGCAATTCAATTTTTTTGTGAATTCCTACAGTTATTTAAAGTTAGAGTCATCGCATAGGTTTACATTGAATCAAAAATTTAAACTGAATGAATTAGGTACAGCGGTATAAGGGTCTGGTTCTCTTAAGTGAGGAGTTAAGATTAATATCTATATATATATATTTTTGGTTATAGACACTTATGTATATAGGTATAAGGTTGTGAAGAAGAAAAAAAATAAAAAATAAAAGAGTGAATATAACGAAATCCGCACTT